TGATGGGCCAACTCCTGGTTGGCAATGTATTCCTTGTCGGTATTGAAGTGCAGAATTCGAGATTTGGAAGGGTCGGCATTGCGCCCAAAGAGCTGTCGCCGTTGAGCCCGTGACAAATTGAGATCGTCCGCGATGTTATCCAACGTTTGATCGGCCGGTGGCTGTGAGGGGGCCGTCGCTGTTTCAGGCTCCGGCTCTGGGCCAGCCGGGGTGGCTTCTAGGTCGGTGGTGTACACCAATGGCTCGTAGGTAGCGGCTTGTGCTTGCGGTTCGGGCATATTCGAAGTTGTAGTTTCTTCTGTGGACAGGGAGAACAGACTGATTTTCGGTTTCTGAGAAACGGGCGGCGTTGGCTGTGCAGCCGGTAATTTATTGGACGCTTGCGAGGATTGTAAAGATGTTGTCTCGTTCGCGGTTGGCAAAGGAGACGACGAGGCAGGTTTTGCCGGTTGCTTCTTTTTCTTCTGCGACGCCCGCCCCACGGACAACGGCTTGAACATCATCGGGTTCCCCTTCAGCTTGACCTCCTCTTTCTTCTCTCCGTCTACCTGAGCCGTCGCGGCATCGTTGTCGCCAGGCTGCTCACTCCGAAGACTCCCCGGCTTGGGTATCGTCTCATCATCGCCATCGCCCGCCAAGCTATCGAACGCCTGTTCCCTCCGAAACTCCGCATCAGCTTCGCGGTCGAAACCAGGAGTCGCGCCCGTCTTCAGGCTGAAGACCTTCCGGGCTGGCGCGGCCGTCTTCCTATCCTTCTCCGCCGTGGCGTTGGTCCTCTTCGGAGGCGGTAAAAGGGCATTGAAACCCGAAAATGCTCCGCCTCCGCCTATTTTGACTCTTTTCCGGGCTGGCTCGTCTTCGCCATCCGCGGTAGGGTTCTCGGGTTTGATCTCCGGTAGAGCAACGCGGATCTTGCGGGGGTTACTGCGGTCGACGACGAAGTTTGCGCCGGAGGAGGGCTTGTGCGGATTCGCAGGCGTGGGAGCTTGACTTTTGTTTGATGGTTGAGTGACCTTGGTTTCTTGCTCTGAGTCTGAAGCTTCAGAGTCTGAGTATGATACGAGAGCCATTTTGGGTAGGGATGGCTAGATGTTTGTCTTGATAAGAATATAGAAATGCGTTGCGGAAGATGGCGATAGGGCCGCGGTCATGATAGACGGTTCCGCACGTGCCTTAATGAGGAAGTTGTTGATGCCTGAATTATATGGTGTCATTATTTACAGCTCCATGCTATCATCTTGCTGCCTTATCTTGCCAGGCACAGCTCAAGGGCATATTACCTCCTAACCATGCTAACCTCTGCGGCTTCAGTAATCTTAGATAAATTCGCATCTGACCAGGCAAGTACAACTGTGTTGCTCACATTGATTAGGTCTAGGCGATCAGTTCTAGCCACAGATTCAGGACATACTCTTATCGCCAGAGTAATTTCGCACGCAGGAATGCGGCAGTCTGAGAATGTAATTACAACGATCCTGGTCATATCGCCTGGACTGCGGACCAGACCGACTAATGCGTCGTGCCGTTTGTTCTAATCATCAACAGTATTATTGTGATGACATCATAAGCATGAGGAGGGGACACCTGACGATCAGATAAGATAAGGATGACTAATCACATGTTGGCATCAGAAAGAGAAATGGCAACTGTCTTCAGCTCATTCCACCTTGCTCGTCAGAATCCCCTCTCATCTCAGCAAATGCACGACACAATTTAACAAAGCGTGATATCTATGCACAACTTATAATGAAACGACGCCATGGACACAGCCACCGCCGCAGAAAATGGTCCAGAACCACAGGCATCCCCAGAGGCTCCTAGCGCAGAAAACGAATACACCCACCCTGCCACAGGCAAATTCCGCTTCAAATCCTCAAAATCCAAATCCAGATCCAAATCTCACCGAGACGAACCATACGACACCACCCACCACCACCGCCATCACCGCCATTCCCACCGCCACCACCGCTCCTCCAAACAACACAGATCCAAGCGCTCGACCCCACCCAACCCCCAAGATAACCCATCCCGCCTCTCCCCCGGCACCGCCTTCCGCGAGTCCCTCTTCGACGCCCTCGGCGACGATGAAGGCGCCGCATACTGGGAGTCCGTGTACGGCCAGCCAATCCACAAGTACCCAGTCCCATCCGTCCCCAAGGGTCCAGACGGCGAGCTGGAGCAGATGTCCGAGGAGGAGTACGCGACATACGTGCGCAGTCGGATGTGGGCGCGGACGCGGGAGGGGATGCTAGAGGAGCAGGAGCGCCTGCGCGCCGAACGAGCGCGGCAGAAGCGACGCGAGGAGGAAAGCGCAGAGAGCCAGCGCGAGAGGATGCGGTTCGAGCGTGCCATGGAGGAGAGTCTCCTACGCGGCCGGGAGCGACGGCGCCTCAAGGCGTGGAAGACGGTCTGGGAGGAGTACCGGCGTGCCTGGGAGGAGGTGAACCAAGAAGTAAACGTGGGTGCGAGCGAGCGCAGGCCGTTCCGGAATCTGGTCTTTTGGCCGGTGGAGTCGGGGAAACGGAGGGATATTTCGCGCGAAGCGGTGGAGGAGTTCATGCGCCATGCCCCGGAGGAGGTGTCTGGGGTGGGAGACGATGATCGGGCGGACAGCACGGCTGGCCTGCTTGCGGTGCTCAAGTCTGAGCGGATACGCTGGCATCCGGATAAGATCCAGCATCGATATGGTGCGCTGGGGATCGATGAAAGTGTGATGGCTAGTGTGACCGAGGTCTTCCAGATCATCGATCAGATGTGGAATGAGACGAGGGCGAAGCAGTCGTAGACGGCTGGGAACCTTTTCAACGTGACAAGATGAGCGTTTAGAGCAGCATTTTCTCGGCGTTTTTGATAGCATGATACCCTGCAGTCATCGCGATTACATTTTATTCCTATTATTTCCATTCCATAGTCAGGCGCTCAGGAAACAGCTCATCAATTTCTTGCTTCATATCAAAACGACTGTTAAAACCCGCAACTAGACATATATGACACGGCTATGCAATTGCGCAAATAATCAGAAACAAAATCTGACTCCGTAGACATGTTTTTTGTAATTTTCCTTTTGCATTTTTCGTGCTTTCATCCTTCCAACTAAAATCGCGAGTAACGCTGCTTGGTCCGGTACATGGTGAAACCGAGATACGCACCGACGACGGCAGCAAGGAACAGCATAACCTTAAACAGGAACCAACCCCAGCCGCCCTTCTTCTTGGGCACCTTCACTTGGGCCCGGTCTTGTCTGCCATTGTTTGCTGGGCCACGGCCGGAGCCGGCGGCGGCGCTGCCTCCGATGCTGTACAGGTTCTGAGCCTTGATGGAGATGATGTCGTGGTTGTCGCTCAGTTCTCCAGTTTCGGCAGAGAAGCCCAGGTAGGAAATGGCAGGGATGGCGATATTGGTCTCGGGGGCGTTCAGGGTGAAGCAGTTGGTCCAAGTGTCCTCAGACTTGTACTGCAAGTCTAGGGTCAGAGACTTGTCCTGGAAGTATGTCAAGCGCGCCTTGGTAGGAATTGAAGCGCCGCGCAGACCACGAGCCTGTCATCAACTTGTTAGCGCAACAGAGATCGACGCGGAGAAAATTAGGGTAGACTCACCGAACAGCCAGCGACTTCGTTGGCCTTTCCGTCATGGGCCTGGTCGTAAGGCGTCTTCCCATCACCCATCATGGCCATGACGTAGGGGAATGACGTTCCGGGACGGTTATTCTTGTATGTGTCGAAGAAGATACCCAGTCCTTCGAAGTTGTCTGTCGACCCGAAGACAGGGCCCTGGGTTGCGCGCTGCTTGGTGAGCCACATGGCAAACCCGTCGCCGTGCAAGTTTCCTTCGCCGTGGATCTTGAACTCAACCTCGATCTGGGTCACACGTCAGATTGTCAAGTCCTCGCCTCATATGAAAGTCCACCACTAACCTCCCAATTCGTTGCGGTAAGCGGAACCCGAGAGAAGATCCACCCCTGCTGCGATGGTCGATCCGACGTCAGGCGAATGTACCTAGCCCAATTAGCGCAAGGTTCTCCCCATCTCCAACTGAGTATTGTGGGGGGTTTGGTCGCATACTTGTCAGCGCGGACGATTGTATCACCACCAAAATCGAACCAGCGGCTTTGGAAGTCCGAGTCCAGGTATGGCTATGCAAAGTCAACTAGAATGTTCGGATTGAAGCTCGAGCAGATGCCGAGGTGCGGAGCGAGGACCAACCGGAGCAAGAGTGTGAGTGCGGAGCTGGTAGAGTCCAGGTTAGCGGGATCCGAGGGGCATTTGCGCATTCATGGAGAAATGGTCTTCGTACTGGAATGCTCTTGATATTCTCGTCGCCGTTGTAGGCGCTTGTTACCGGGAGGGTAGCTAGGCCACCGAGGCACAGAAGCGAGGAAAGCCGCGGCAGCAGCATGATGACCGATGTGATTGGATGGAGTCTGAGAAGCTGGGAGAATGAACGATTGTAGTTGTTGCGAGAACGAAAAGGTCAAGCGGTAGAGAGCAGACTGCAGCTAGCGAGCAAGAATAATCAAATTTGAGACTGATCGGCGTGGGTGGGCTCAATGTCACCGGGACATCAGCGAGCTCTACGTAGACAAGTATACCTTCCTGGAGGACAAGCTCAATGGGAGAGGGTAGCTCGGCGAGTGGTAAAATGGGAGAAAAGAATGAACGATAGTGAAGAGGGATAAAAGGAGTACACTACTCAGGTTTCACTGTGTACTGCGAAGAATCGAAAGGAAGCAAGGATCCAAAGAAATGGTAGACAACAGAGTATATGACAGATCCATGCCCGCACCTCATCGAGTAAACATCCAAGTGTCCACTTCGCCCTGCGTGTGGCGCAGCTCCCTCACGAACCAGCCCGCACCAGCCACACTTTTCCTTTATTCCGAAGATCTTGTCAGCGTCATTATCCAACGTCCTCACTTCAGTCCACACATACCCCTCAATCCACCTCACTTCCTACACCGAATTCCTTCCAGACATCCACAAAAAGGAAATACAAGCACCAAAATGGCCATCTGGGGATCCTCAAGCTCCAACTCCGCGTCCTCCAGCGAAGCGGACATCAAAACCCACCTCATGAACCAAGTGCGGCAAGAAGCCGCCGTGACCAACGCCCGGAATCTGATCGGGGTATGTATAGACCTAACCTACCACACAGCACATTTGAGTCAAATCAGTCTGACCAAGGACGGGTTTCCTCCCACTTGTAGAAAGTCAACGAACACTGCTTCGAAGCCTGCGTCCCCAACCCGGGCACATCGCTGTCCTCCGCCGAACACACCTGTCTCTCGCAGTGCATGGAGAAGTACATCTCCTTCTGGAACGCCGTCAGCCGTGGCTACATTTCGCGTCTCGCAAACGAGAGGAAGGCGTACGGTGGTGGTGCCCTTGACCCATCGTTTATTCAATCTGGGCAGGAATCCAGCCTGTGAGCGCTGGCGCATCGGAGCTTGACCTTTGTTGAGGAGGGAGTGGAAGGCTGATTGTGTCTGTGATTTCGACATTACGAGGTTTCTTGGTGCTGTTTTCACCCCCTACCTTGAATGGGTTTGCGGTACTTCCAAAAGGCGTTGTTTTCTCTTGCCGTGAGCTTCAACCGGTAAGATTTTTGTACAATACTATATACAGGGTGACGGGTGGATACTATTGTGTAGAGTACTCATTCAAGTTTAAAAACGGGGCGGCAGAGCCACCGAGACCGATTGACAGCCATATCGGACGGAAGACGTCTGGTCTGTATTTGATGATATTCAGATTTGACGCCTACCTTTTCCACTTGTTCAAGACATCGAAAATATGTACATTATACAGGACTGAAGACGAAATTGACGCAGATAGAAAGACAATGGATGAGGCCAACAGTGACCTTTGTTCCATACTCATAACCAACACTCACCCACTCAGGTGTGCCAGCGCAAAGAGAAGACGTAAAGAAAAGGACATGGATAACCTTGCGGGCTCCCCAAGACTTCAGAAAGGTATACCTCAGGCGACACACGATAACCAAGGACAAGCCCAATCATCCAGGATCCAGCAGCCGACCAAAGCTTCTCCAGACGAACACCACCGACATGTTCAAAGGTTAAACTTCGAACCCAATAAAAGAACGGAATATTGGACCCCCTGAATTCCAAGAGATTCTCTCAGATACGTCAATGCCGAAAGAAGGTAAGGATCAGTCCATGCGGAAGCCACGAAACTTCTGCAGTGGTAAAATTCAATAGAGCCCCACAGACACGCTCCGGGCATATGCGCGAGCCTGGAGCATCATGGTCGACGAGAGAGACCAAAGTCGTAGACAAGCACGACCTTTCAAGAGAAGATAGTACTGAACAGAGCGAGTTTTATTTCGAGCATAAAGTAGTGGCTAGTCCATTTGAATCGTGGGCATTCCCGTCCCATGATTGGCAAAGTGCAAAGTCCATTGCCCTATCAAAGGTCGTATATTGCGCTAGAAGTCGGGGAAAAGGTGACCATGCCTGTAGCAAGAGCTCCAATTAGTACCTAGATCTAAATTGGTTCGCGACCGGGACACATACACATCATCGCCCTGCTGGCCGTATTGTTCAGTCTCCTCGGGATACCGATCGTATTGACTGGCATCACCCTGGCCTCCGCGGATAGGGGGTACATAAGGAGCATCAATGTCCTTTCTTGCAAGACGATCCCAGGTGACTTCCGCGAACCAAGGGTGGTTCTTCACATCTTCGGAACCTCCATGAAGGTTTCCCAGTCGCTTGGTCAAGTCCGCTGTGATGAGCTGCGAGAGCAAGTCGACGGCGTCCGGGTGAAGGTAGGGCGGGTACTTGACACGACCCCGGAGAATGTTCTCGTAGATCTTGACGGGCGAGCCACTGTCCCAGAAGGGTGTGAAGCCGCACAACATTTCGAAGATAAGAATTCCAAGTGACCACCTTGGCTCTAGTCAGCCAATGGAAGCGTAGAGCTCATTTGAGGGAAATACCTACCAATCGACCGATTTGTTATATCCCTTGGACGAAACAACTTCTGGAGCAAGATAATCGGGTGTTCCGCAAAGCGTCCAGGTGATGTCAGGCACCTCCTTCGCGAACCCAAAATCGGTGATCTTCAAGTGACCGTGCCGGTCAAGTAGCAGATTCTCTGGCTTCAGGTCTCGGTAAATAATCTGCTGAGAGTGTAGATACTCCAGTGCAAGAGTAACCTCGGCCGCATAGAACTTGGCGACAGGGTTTGGGAACCGCTGCGATGGGCACATGGCATCAGCCTACTGGAACTTGCATCGATACGGAGGGACGCGGAGAGCACTCACCTGGGATTTGCGAAGTAAACTGAAGAGCTCTCCACCCTCCACAAAGTCCATCACCATGTACAGATTCCTTGCGTCTTGCCAGGTACCCCACAATGTGATCAAGAATGGATGCCTGACGCGATTGAGCATTCGTCGCTCGTCATTTGTATGCTCGACCTGTTTCATCTTGACCACCTGCGCCTTCTTCAGGACCTTGATTGCGTAGAATCGATGATTGTGTTTCGACTGCACCAAATGGACACGACCGAAACTGCCCGTACCCAATGTACGTTGGATAGTGAAATCGTCTAGGGAATATTTCCCTTTTGTAGTGCGGGCATCAGCCCGGGTGCCCTGCTGGGAGTTCGCATGACCTTCGGCAGAAGCCTGTGAAGATCCATGATGATGAGTGGGGTGAAGTAGATTGTGTAACTTGGAGGTATGAGTGTGTTGTTGTTGTGGCTGTTGCTGCTGGTGTTGTTGTTGTAGGTGGTGGAGGCCCGGGTTGTGGTGGGTGGAGGGATGGGGTTGCGTCACGGCGGATTGCATGGAGGCAGCTTGACCCTCGGAATTTTGATCTGTACCTGGAGAGGGGTTGAGATTGTGGTTGGATGAGCGATGAGGCTGAGCAGCAGAGGAGGTTGCGGAATTATTGCTGGTGTTACTGGTGGCCGAATGTTGATGATGATGGGTTTGTTCGTCGTGCTGGTGGTGGTGGTGGTGGTCGGCAGAGTTGGGTGACGTCTGTGTCTGGGCCGCTGTGGGTGACGAACTTGATTCCAGTTCTTTAGAGAGGGTATGCGAATCCTTCGTCCGCCGTTTCTTCAAGAGGCCTCCTAAAGTCGGCATCGAGGATATGAGAGTTAAGAGTATAAGAGGTCAGAGATAAGGTGAAACATAGACCATAGGGAGGTGAGTGGCAGGGTAGGTTAGGGGGTGCGGGTGTTTTGTGTGAGAGAAATCAACCCCTCGTCACTTCTGGCTTGCGGGAAGCTTTCAAAGAGGGGGACACAAGACACACGAGGGAGCGAGAGATGGCTCCGGCGCGGATACTGCGGACGCCTCCCGGGGGCTAGAGACAACCAGAATGGAGTCGATGGACCCCCCGATCGTTCGTGCGTTACAGAACACCCCAAAGTCGAATGCAGAGCTGGGCTGGAGATTGATTGCTTCTTTCTTCTTGCTTCGTGACTTTTGCTTATATCTCGAGGTCAATTGATCGAAATGTTCAATCTCTCCTCGTAGACTATATCTAGACTAGAGGTCGTCGCGGTACCAAGTAAATTGAGAGAAGCCAAGAGAGTGGGGAAGGGCTAGCCCATAGTCAAGATGATGATGACGATGATGTTGTTCCTTGCTGATGATAAGGATGTGATGCTAATATAGCGTTGTTGTAAGGTTTTAATTAAAGTCGGGGTAAAATTGACTCTCTCCCTCTACAAGTAGTCATCTCACTCATTTATTCGACGCTATCTGCGTCTTCAATTCATTCTCCAAATAGCCAGTCGATGAAGAAAGTACGCAATATACCTCTCGCTCTAAATTCGTATCATTTGATACCAATTAGTCACTAGAACCATGCCAGACAAGATTTTATGACGTTCTACGAAAGTGGTACAGCGTGCGCAGAGTGGAGAGTAACCTCTCAGACACTATGAGATCATCACTCAATGTTAGATCCTTCGACCTCCGGGACCATGTATCATTGAGATCATGACTGGGCCACCACAACTTCAGGTCCTATTTTTCGCAGGGTTACTCGAGCATTGATACGAGATTTTGATATACTGTCGAATTTCAACATTTTATACCTACCAGACGACAATTGCCAAACGTCTCAATTCCATCCAGCTGGAGACCCTACAAAAGCCTCTGTCTTGGTGACTTCATTACCCCCAGCGGATCCCCGGAAGGCCCCGCATCAAGGGCTGTTGTGCCCAACCGGCAATATTCCCCAAACCAATTGCCTCCCTAGTGTGCAGCAGTATCTTTAGCGATGCAAATCATATCTTCGTGGATTCTCATCTCATGCCAAGGGGTAGATACTTGTACATCAACGAACCAAACCTCCTTAGACAATAGCATCAAAACAGCATGTCTCTGCAGAATAAGACTTGTCCCCAAACGCCATACCAAACCCACTTCCTCATAACTAAATACGATAATGAGCCATGTTCTTCTTGATCTCATCCACTATCTCAATCGCCTCCAGGGCATTTCGCGCCTCAAAATCGTACCGCTTCTGCTCATTGGCATCGTTACCGCGTAGAACAACGACCCGGAAGTTCTTCGGGTGTCGCCGGCTCACTTTGCATCCCACCACATCGTTGAAGCTGATCGATCGGGTTTTGGTGTCGGATGCTGCCTTGCCCGTATCCCCCGGCATGATGTGCATGTAATCATTGTCAAAGGTCAAGATGCGATGGTTCGATGTCGTGAAGGACATTGACTGCTTTCGAAACACATGATAGCGCCGGTAGTAACTACCCGTAAGTTCCTGGGTTTGGGTGAGTGGATGTAGCATGCTTGGTCCGCTCTTCTTGCTCTTCTTGCTTGCAGCGTTGTGTTTGTTATCGATGAGCAACGGCGCATTGGGGGATGAACTTCCTGGGGAGCCAGTTAATGATAGAGGCCCCGCCCCGAATCGACGCCGTACAAGGTCGAGGTCGGTAATATTACCCAGAGCCTCCACTGTCCGGTCAAGCGGCGCTATCGTGTTGGATCCCGCCACTTTGAGAATGTAATTGCCCTTGTCGAGCGCCCATCTTTTGCAGACCGAGTCCAAAATTTCTGCTATATAGCTGTCGGTAGAGGTGTTCAGAGTTGTAACGTGAGTGGCAGCATCCAGGTTCATGAACCGGATTTTCAGTGTTTTGGAGACGCCCATTCGAGGTGTAGCATGGGACGTAGGCACCGCGGGCCGGTCAGCTGGAGTCAAGGTATTGTCGTTCAAAGCAGATGAGAACGGCTGTCCCAGAATGGGATTCACGCGAGCTGCTGGGGCCTTACTCTGCGGAGTAGGCTGGATGAGTGGCACAGTCGGCGCCGTAGGCGTTGTGACGTTTTCCTCTGAGGGTGCTTCCTGACTGTATTGCGGGAACAGCCGCTCATTCTCTTCGAATTCCTCCTCAGAAGCTTCCACCAAAGCGAATTCGTCATATT